TTGATCAAGTTGGATATCAACGTTATTTCGCTTTCAACTTCCTGAAAATTTATACCAGTACCGGGAATTGTATCAGAATATATATATATATATATATATATATATATATATATATATATCCCACATTGATACATGACTGAGTTCCAAGCAAATATGCAATCTTCAGATGCAAACATACTAAGATTGCATATTTGCATGAAACTCTCAAGTCATGCTATCAATGTGGGATATTATGCCTATTCACTAATATAACCCTGAGCTCTGTTTTTATAACACCAGAGAAGAAATATCTATATATGTGCAAGTATATGTGCGTATACTTATATTTTTTATCATATATATATATATATATATATATATATGAGGCTCAAACACTAATATTGCATGGTTATAATTTATTACATTGGAATCGTAATCACAATCCAATTCATCAGACCTACAAGTTCAAAAAGAAATCAGAAAATATAACCAATGGAATATTAGTGTTTGAGCCTTTTTTATTATATTCTTACTCTGTCCTAGACATGGAGTTCTACCTGGATTCTATCCTCTTGGAAATTATATATATATATATATATATATATATAATGCCAGCAAGGAGCTACTGAGATTGAAAGAGAATGAGAAGACTTTAGAAGGGACCAGAAACCCAATCCTAAACAGGAAACAAGGGATACACCTTTACACCTGTTTGAAAAACAGGGAAGGAGTATGAATATTTTTTATTTTTACATTTATTTGCTATTATTTTCTATAGAAAATGACCACCTCTGTTTTTCTATCTCGTGGATTAAAGCATTAGTTCATGAATTTGGTAACACAGTAATTGTGAGTTCAATCCCTGACCCAGGTCGTGCAGCCTTTGATTCAGTGGAAACCCAACAGTGATAAATAAGAACTACATTAACTATCCTGAGGTATAGACAGGAGAAGAAAAACAATCTACTCCCATAGATAAATAAAGGGATCAGTTGGTAATTCCCAGAAGGTTACTCAGTTTGACAAAGACCTGAGGAAGGTCAAAAACACAATGGTCAAAATATGATGACAATAGTCTGAACATGTAGAATAACCACTTCCCTTTGTATGACAAAAGGTTGAAAAGTTGTAGAAACAAAAACTGCAATAAATTTTCACCTTTTTTAGAATGATAATGACTTCTGAAAATCACAAAAGTTGGGATTTATTTTTGTTTATCGTTTATTTAAATATCAGTTTTAATCTAGCATCAACAAAGACATATTTAATGTAGGTCAATCTTGTAGGTCAGAGTTCATTGTGTGCATCATTGGCCCACATGAAGACTGGTAATATTTTGGTGAGAAGTCAAGAGAAAGGGTAAGTGACATAAGCACTGAATAGTCCGGAAAAATAGTAATTACATGATCATGTGCTATTTTTTGCTATTAGTTTTGTCTATATCAACATTTTATTCAAGATATCCAATAAGAGTAATTTTCACACTGAAAAACATTTTCATGTCTTTTTTGTCTTTTTTTATACTGATCATTGACCAGTCAATTAATAAAGCTCCATCAGCAGATAATAACAAAGTCATAGGCCAACTAAAGTTGAGATTAGAATCATTGTGAACCTCATAATCTTGTTGATGGCTGCATAGTATGTGCTACACCAAGACTACATACAGTTTTGAAATGAGAGTTGTTGTTCTCCTAGACTGGTTGCCAATAATGGCTAGAGAGCTAAGTCTGCTCTGCTATTTAACTCATAGCGGAGGGAGAGAAGAGATGGATTCATATCTTTCCAAAAGGTATTTGCACAAAAGTGAATCTAATAAACTCAGCTGGAATTTGAACTCTGCTTGCCAATGTCACATTCCAAGCTGCTAAATATTACACCACCCACACATCCATCAACAGATGTCTTGAGGGGAAAAAAAAAATCTCATCACTGGAATGCTACAATCAGTGATGAAAAAGTGTTCAAAACACTTATGACTACATTACTGGTTAAGGATTCTTTTATCTGCCATGTCCCTTCAGGATGTGGACAATCATGGCTCTCCACAACAACTCCCTTAACACTGTCCTTTTCCTTGCCCCCACTGTGCTATCCCTTGACAAGTTCATTAGGTGGGTTACTCACTGCTTTCCCCTCCTGCCTATCCTGCTCAGGCAGTAATCTCAGAAAAAAATTGTCATACTCATTGTAAACTGTGAAAGGTCCAGTTATATTTTTCAGCACCCCATCATATCTTCAAGTCAAGGTTAAAACCATTATTATTATTATTATTATTATTATATGTGCCATGTCCCTTCAAGACATGACATGGTAGATTCTGACTCCACAATTTCCTGTCCTTTATAGCTCTTAGTAAATTGTCTTTTTACCATCTCTCCTGAATCATGTTCTGCCAACCATTTATACAAGTTTATTAGGTTACTCATGGCTTTCACTGCCCCTCTTCCTTCACTATGCACTGTAAGTGTTAAATTTTCCAAGCCCTCTTTCCTAATGTGTCCTAGAAATTTCAATTGTC